AGCTCACAGAGACTGAACCAACAACCAGGGAACCTGTATGGAACTGACCAAGGCTCTCTATATACAAGTGACAGTGTATATCTTGGTGAACTTGTGAGACTCTACGAAGAGCAGGGGATGTCTTTTGGGAACCTACTCCTCATACTGGGTTGACTTGTCCAGCCTTAATACATGGGAGGTGCTTCGTCTTACCATAACTTGATATGCTATACTTTGTTGATACCCATGGTATGTTCGCCCATTTCTGAACAGAAACAGAGAAAAGTGGATTTCAGTGGGGCAGGGAGTGAGGGGGGGTCTTGGAGGAGTTGAAAGAGGGGTGTAAAATAAATAAATGAAACAAGTTTAAGAATGAAATTGAATTAGGAGACCATCTTAAATCTAAATAACTTTTTCAGGAGATGGATTCAAACCTAAAGAGGTGTATCCAGGCATGGTGTCTCACACCTTTAATTCCAGCACTCAGCAGGCAGAGACAGAGCACTCTGTATTTTCTATGCCAACCTGGTCTACAAACAGTTCCAGGACAGCAAAGAATGTTACAGAGAAACCTTTCTCAAAAAAACAAAATCAAACAAAAACAAAAAACAAAACAATACAAAATAAAAAAAGCAACTCCCTCAAACTAAAAAGGCGCTAAGGTTATGTAAATACTAGGGAATACATATCTGAAGCGTAGCAATATGCATGCTTACAACATTTCTCTCAGAACTAAAGGTGTAGGGACTAAAATAGAGATCATAGTCCATCTGGGAATCTGAGAGTCTCTTTTAGTAACAAAGTAATGCTTTAATGTCTATAAGCCAGGAATTTTCTCAGAATAGAATTGAAATCAGAATTTATTTATTGTAGTGCTGCATCAGGTACCCTAACACATTGGCGAGGTAGAGGTGGCAGGAGAATGGTATCCAACTGTGAAAGGAGGGGCTCCACATATCCAATGCCAAAGGTTCTTATCAATACATAATGTGGAACAGATTTCAATACAGGTTCTCACAAAGCTCATTTTTCTATTTCACAAAATGCCATACAGATTATTAGGCATTCAGTGACAAAGTGTCAATGGATGGATTATGGTTTTGATTATGGTTATGGTTAGGGATTAGGGTTAGATTTATATACAAAAACTTTGCTACTATTAATGATAGTTAACATCTTTATGCAAAGGAAATTTAATGTTTTATTTTCTTATAGTATCATATTTGAGCACAGCATGTTGGGGATAGCACCTTTATTCCTTTTTTTTCTAATTCATTGAGATGATTTTATTTTTCAGTTCACACATGGAATATCTTATTTATATTGACATTGTTCTAACAAAGCAAAATGAAGCCCATGAGTGTGATCATAGTCATTACAGCAATTTTCTGTTCATAAGTAAAAATTTTCCAAATGCAACTTTATTCTGTGTAGGTAAATTACTCTAAAGAATGTTCCTAGTTATAATAAGAAAGAGATTCATGTTTTCAATTTCTTATCTAAAGATATTCTAGTCTTTGTACTTTTCTGTATTGTATCCATTGTTCCTTGTTCCTCAGGAAAAACTAGCAAAGGTGTTTCTGCAAATATGTGGTAGAAGCAGTCATGGAGAGGACACTGGAAACAGTTGTTCAGTAAGGAGCCATACTTTGAAAGGGAACTTGGGTTAGTTTATTAATGCTGCATGAGAATAGCACAGCCCTTATTCCTTTCAAGTACGTCTACACAGAATATGAAGTTACCCAAATGAGGTACAGTTCGATAAGGCTTCATTTGTCTGTATTTTGAAGCCTAATTTGATTGTTAGTCTGATTAAATTTGACATTCCTATTTTGTGCTAAAATGTGATGAGGTAAATAGGAATTTTGAGATATAAATTCTTTATAAAAACACTTAAGTCATTAGAAAAGCTCTCTTTTCCCTTATTTAATGCAAATATATTTGTAGGGCACAGACAAACAAGTATTGTTTCCTTGGAATCCAAGGACAGTCTTGACTCCTTTGTTCATCACTCCTCCCTCTCTACAACTGGATTCCAGGCGTATGGCTCAGTGCTTAGCTGTGGGTGTCTGCTTCTGCTTCCATCAGCTACTGGATGAAGGTTCTAGGATCGCATATAATGTAGTCATCAATCTAATTATAAAGGAAGGGCATCAAAAGGAGCTTCTACAATACTGCTTAGATTCTTAGTTGGGGTCATCTTTGTGGATCTCTGATCATTTCTCTAGTGACGAATTTATCTTTAAACTGGCCCTGTCTATTATGGTATCTCTTTTCTTGCTCTCCTCTATTCCTCCCCTGTCTCAGTCTTTCTGATCCCTCTTGTTCTCTTCCCTCCTCCTCTTCTCCTCTTCTCTTTTTCCTACCTCCATCCAATCTGCCCCCATGCTCCCAATTTGCTCAGGAGTTCTGGTTCCTTTCCCCTTTTTCGAGGGTAAATGTATTTTTTTGTTTGGTTTTATGAGACAGGGTTTCTCTGTATTGTTTTGGAGGCTGTCAGTCCAGCCTGGCCTCGAACTCTCAGTGATCCGCCTGCCTCTGCCTCCCGAGTGCTGGGATTAAAGGCGATTCCATCAAAATTGATCAAGATTTGATCCGAACAGGAGAAACCTCAGGAGGAGGAAAGATGACAGCTCATCCACAAGGTCACATTCTACTATGGGTAAGGAGACCTCATAAAGGGAAAGAGAAGTGCTTTGTTTTTGTCTTCACAGGAAAACCTGTCTCGAAACAGTGAAAACATACTCAGGATGTGGATACCTGAAGAAGACAGGATGGCTACCCAAAGAACATCAAGCGAAGAAGAATCTAATGTTTGTATCAATGTCCAACTCTCTCAATTCCATCCGTATCATATCTATTTCTCTTTACTTCCTAATACTCTTTTAGTCTCAATTCATTTAACTGAAGCGATCAAGCGAAGAAGAATCTAATGTTTGTATCAATGTCCAACTCTCTCAATTCCATCCGTATCATATCTATTTCTCTTTACTTCCTAATACTCTTTTAGTCCCAATTCATTTAACTGAAGCAGACTTTGGAGTTGGATTTGGCTCTCCTACTCTAAATCCAAGCGTGTTGTTAAAATAAAATTCAGAATTTCTGTATTATATCAAGGATCCATTGATATACGACAGAAGAAAACAAAACTAGGGACTGTCATCTGTTATCTCTAAAAGTGTAATTTCCCCACATATCATTGACCACACCATTACATTGGTAATGTCTGAACGATTTTCATAACGATCCTAAGTATTTTCCTCATTCTCACTTTCTCAGGATTGCACACTGAAATATGGAAGAGACCACATGACAAAGCACACATATATAAGTAGGTAGAGACATAAGCACATAGCTGAAAACAGAAAGATATACACAAAGAGTTTCAACAGTGTAAACCAATCTCATACTTCAAAAATGACTTTAGTTTTGCTTTTAAGGATAGTAATTATTGTTAAAAATGATTTACTTTGTAATCATGTGATGGGTTCATTTTTCTTGCCTCTGGAATGCCTTGTCTTTAATGAAGCAAATATTTCTAAATATATTTGTTTACTGAGTCCGATTATTCCTAAAATCTTTGAGGCCTACTTTTCTATTTGTAAGCAGGATGTCCTTTAGGTCTAAAGAGGCACACTACCAGAGACAAGAACGTGGGAGCAAGGACAAGGCGTGCTGACATATTGTTGAAGTTTTATTAAAGCCACTAGAGTTCAAAATAGCAAAGCAGCCACACAAGGTAGCTATAAAGACTAGGCAGTGGTGGTACACACCTTTCATCCCAGGACTCAGGATTAAGCGGTAGACAGATATGCGTTAGTTCAAGGCCACAGTGACTACTGAAATTTGATCCAGTCTTAAGAGAAACAGATCTCACAAAGATGATCTCAGAAATTGGGAGGACAAGCCTTAAATCCCAGGACTCACAAGAGGTATTTAAGATAGGAATGGGGTCTCAGAGCTTGTAGTCGTTCTCCAGCCACAATGAGGATAGGAAGGTATATATTCTCCAGCCACACTGAGGAGAGGCAGCAGTCTGAGGCTTGGTGAGAGTTTGTGGAGACAGGATCATTCATTTTAGCCTGAAGTAGAGGCAAGAGCTAGTGGCTGGATGATTTGTTTTTCTGATCTTCATCTTGAATCTTGAACCCCAATATCTATCTTTCTGTCTCTTATTACCCTATTACAGCTGAGGGCAGCTTCTTGCTGGGATAACTACCTTACCGTTGCATCCCACAACACAGGATTTGGGTCGCAGAAGTGTTCCATCTCCAGCTTGAGTTAGTAAAACTGGTGAGACTCCTGCTAGTTGATAAATCACAGCTGTCCTTGTATCCACCCAGGTGTCTGAGGTTCAGTCTTCTAAGAATCCCACTGAACTTCCCATCTGGAAAGCCGCCAGGGAAGTTGTCCTACACCAAAGATGCTGGGTTAAATCACCCAAACACTGCTCTTACCAGAGAGCTGTGTCCCAGCTGCAGGACTCTGGTTTTCTGCTGCCCCAACCTAAGAACCATGCATGCTGACTATTGTCCCAGCACCCTCATTTTCACTGGTTATGTTTTCTTCAGCTCTCCATCACATACTAAACAAATTTATGTTTTATATTCTTGGGGAAAAACAGTGAAACGTCTGTCTTCCTGATTGGACTAATAGGCAACAGCCACTAATGCACTATGCATCCATTAAAAGCTACACATGGTCAGAAAACCAAATATCATGCTGCAAAAATGTAAGAAAAATAAAAAAATGTTCTGAGCTCTCAGTTCTGAATATAAGTGTATAATGACATATGCCTCAGTTGATTTTGTATATTATAAATTTCCTATGCAACCATTTTTTATCATACCTATTTTCTATATTGTTTATTGTCCCTGGAACATTTTAGAAATCACCATGAAGTGTAAGTCCCACTGTAGACCCACAGACAATTTTCAGTCAAATGTCCTTTCTTATGATGTGACACTCATGTCTCTGTTGCGAGGCTTACTGTATGCTCACTTCCAAGCAAACCTACTTACCCCCTGAAAGGAGAGCAGGCTTGCTCTTTACGTTTGGACTGGAATGGGGGAATTTGTTGCTGAATGACATGAACAGGTGTGCAGTGAAATCATCAGGGAGCTCAGCTTCCAGAAATGTCTTCATGAATAGCTTGAAGCCTTCAAAATCTATGGTCTGCAAAACAAATTTAAATATGTGATTTCACATCCAGGGAAATAACAAGACTTTGTACCCTGTTCAAATCATTAGTAACACAAATTACGTGATTTTGTTTTCCAATACCAAATCTAAAAGCTAAAGATGATAAAATGAGGCCAAGGCTTGGTGATTCTATACTTTCGTTGGCAATGGCAGGAATGTGTCTCCTGGTTGATATTGTAAAACAAAGATAACAGGATTTCTAGTAAGATGTTTCGATCTCTATGGCAACCATGTTGCATAAAAATTTTCCCCTTTGAAATTTTCTTTCCACCTCCATCAACTGGGTCTGTTATTTCCAAACACACAGATTTGTGCTCAGTACTTCAGATATTTAGTATGAACAGGCTAATACAGATTCACATATTTAGATACCAGGCAGACAGAATAACAGAACTTTCACATCTTTTCTTCATGACAATGGTGATTATTTCTTTCGAGAATTGTAAAAAGTGACCAACAATAATTTTGAATCAAAACAATCATCAACCGATTAAATGTTCCAGAACTTCACATACAGATTTATAATGGAACACATGGTAAGATCTTTAAACTTAGTCATCTGAAAGCAATCATTTCAGAGTAAGAGTCCCAGGCCCAACCTGAAAGACTACAAAAGGAAGGCATTGCCTCACTTCAAGCTTAGTATAGATTACACAGCGGGTCTCCTGTGAGCCTACCTTATCACAGCAAAGGAGGACAATGGGTAAGATGACTGTTGGCAGAAATCCTGAAGCAACTGTGTGGACTTTGGGGACTAAAGTATGTGGATAATATTGACTAGGCTTGACCAATACTCCTACGACTAAAGCTAAAGGAACATGTTAAAGGAGTGTTGTCTAGAAACAGGTGCAGTTTGTGAACAAAAAAAAAAAAACACAAAACACAAAACTTAGGGAATCATCCTAATCAACTGAGAGGCTTAGAAGACCTATAGAGAAGCCTGAATAAAACTAGGCCAGTGAGAACCAGCAGTGTGCATGAGATCACCAGCCTCATAGAGACCTGGTGGGACCTTCTGTCAAGCAGGCTAGTTAGTGCACTGAGAAGTAACTAAAGGCCAGAAAAACTTGGCAATTGATTATTTTTTCATTTCATTACAGTCCCTGGAAAGTAAGAAAAATATTTCTAAACTACTTCTTATTAAGTGAAAAATTGCCTATCTTGTATGTTTAATAATATTTGAGAAAAGTGAAAGAAAATTCATACCTCCTATACTGTTATTCATTATGAACATATTGATGTCCTGTTATCTTAGTTGGAATCTTAAATTATATATTTACAAGCTGTTATCAAAAACATAAGTTTTTAAAGTATTGGTAGTAAACTGATTTTTATTTATATATGGTGTATATTGTTTTTTATTGATGGTAATCTCAAGAAATTAAAATAGTCTATTACCTTTGTTATTAGTAATTTCTTTATAAAATTAGGTATGAAACCAACATTTCAATGTTGTTGTCTGAGTAAAAATCATTACAAAGTACTTTACAAAACCTAGGGAATTTATAGTAAAAGAAATAATCACAAAAGTTGTAAGTAAATAGTAGTTATGTCTTGGAAATTGATGGGTAATTTTGCAGATTAATTTGCCTATTTTATATCTAAAAATTATAAAATTCACTGTTTCTTCCTCAATCAAAACCTCGCATTTGGTCATGTAATCAGGCGACACTTTGAAATGGCTGAGTTCAGAGACTAAGACTTTTAAAAATCTCTCACTTCTCAAAAGAGGATTGTTGTAAACATGAGCATGGAGTATCCCATGAGGTAAGGTTTTCAATTGATGGGGGATGTCCTTTTGTGTATATGCTGTCCTGTTGGTTGATAAATAAAACACTGTTGGTTCATAGAGAAGCAAAATAGGTGGGACTAGGACTCAAGGAGGATTCTGGGAAAAACAGTCAAGAGTAGAGAGTCTCTATGGTATCACAAGAAGAGAGGACACATGAGACTGCATCCTTGGTAAGATAAGATCTTATAAAAATATATATTAGCAATTATGGGCTAATGATTATGTCAGAGCTAGCCATTAAGAAACCATAACATACGACCAACAGTTTCATAATTAATAAAACGTCCTGCGTTTTTATTTGGTACTGACTCGACTCTGGAACCAGGCAGCTGGCAGGAAAGAGTACATGGTACACTTCAATGAATTCTAGGAGGTGATGGCATAAGATCTGTGGTTAAAGTTTTTATTGAAGATGTGAAAGTTTTTATTGAAGACTGTTTCCTGATGTCCTCACAGTTTTATTAGAGGCAAATATTTCTACTGAACTTCTGAGGTTATGTATGGTACAATGTTATGGTACAATGTTATAAAACCCAAATGACTTTATAACCCAAAACTTATCTGACTCAATGTTTCCAATTCACAGTCGTCAAGGAAATGTTTTCTGAGTTACCCATTACTTTTTCTATAAAATGATTTTAAATATAACCTAAAATGTTGCTGCCTAAATCATAAGAGTTTAGTGAAAATCGCATTGTATATTTAATTTCCACATTTCCTTTAGAATAAGTAATAGTGGAGAAATTTCAAATTTATATATCAGTTCCACTGTTGTGATTAGTTTTTTAAAATGTAAACTTTTGAATATAATAAGATCATTTAAAATGCACATTAATGAAAACATGAATGGAAGAATCACATGGGACTTTAATATTTAAAGTAAAATTGGTTATTAATTCTAACACACCCATGATGCTTAATTTTTAAAGTTATTTTTAGCATTTTCATTTATGAAACAGCTACAGAATAATTAGGGCAATAACAGAAAATTGATAAAGAACACAGACTTCTCAGATGCTGCTGCCAAGTTGGCATGAATTCAAAACACACTTCTGTATCCTGTTCCTTATTATATTTGGCCATGTGGATCCTTTACTCTCAAAGTCCCCTTAACATTAAAGATGTAACACTAATATTTATTCTGGTACATGGAAATGAATAAAACCACACACCACCTTCTCATTCTTTTCCTTTGGCAGGTTTGGATTTGGAGCTTTCGCTATTTATATAATTATCAGTAGTCATACCAGGTTCAGTCTCAGGTGCTGGGGTAAAGATGCTACCATTCACCCAGCTTCTAGAGTTAGTATTTGGAGAAACACCCTATTGAGAAAGAAACTAAATCCAGTAAATATTCTGTCAGCATGTAAGAATATTACATGGTTTAGGGTCTAAGATTCAATAGTTGACTCTGGGAATTTATTTCTTCTGGAAGCCTCTAAACTTTCTTTTTATTCTTCTGAGTCAAGACTACCTAATTTATTATTCTTACCTTGAAAGATAATATTAGAGGATTAAGGAGACTATTAATCAATACATAATGGAAATGCTATGGATATGGATATGGCATCCCTTGTGTGCTGATGGAATCCTCACAAAATTAAGGAGTGAATGCTGACTTTCCTCCTTTTATAGAAAAACTTTTAAGGGTGTGATAAATTGATAGTCATCAAAAGTTTTACTAACTTCAATGAAAAGAATATGCTTTCATGCACTTATTTTCAGTGTTCACACATGCTACAAGATGTTTTTCAACTTTTTATATTTATTTGTTTATTCACTGCTTTCTTTTTTCAAAGTGTCTCAGGCATCCCAGGCTATTCTGAAACTTACCATGTAGCTGAGACCCGGGGATTCCTGATCCTCCTGATTATATTTTCTATGAGTTAGAATTGCTAATCTCTCTCATCTGCTTTGTAAGTGATGTTTAAGGCAGAAGCATTAATTATATGTAAGAAAGCCTGCTGTTTCAGAAGCAAGAGAATGTAAATTAACAATCATAGACATAAATATTTTGAAAACACCTATGACTGCTTTGGTCCTTTGACTCCTCAGTGTGCCCAAGTATGCTGGGATACAGAAATATTGCACACACGGATGTTCTGGAAGTTTTCAGCAGAGGTGCATTGCCATCCTGGCTGTGTACTTGCACACACAGCTTCCATGACAGTCTTCCACACAAGACAGTAGGGGCACATTACCTCTGGAAATATTTTTACAAGTGAATATTCTACCTCATTCACTTAAAACATACTATTTACACTTTCCTGTAGCTACTAAAAATACCTAAAGCATCTTTCAAAAATTTTATATTCTCTAGTCTCTTCCACCAAAACACCTAGATGAACTTTTATCTAGTGTTTTTCAAGGGTTTTCTAAAAATGCTATCCCTAGTAACAGTAACAAAAAATAAAAATCAGGCAAAATTCCAAAATAGTCAGTGTTGCAAGGCAGCATTTAAAATATTTTTGAAAAAGAGCCAATAGGTCATTTAAATATTCCAAAGGCATAATTTACTCTAACAGATCTTGTAACTCTTGTCTAATGAGTGTCATTAAAGAAATGAGCAGACAAAACCGGAGCTTTTAGACTGTCTAAATCTAAGCATAAACTTGACTCTTACTATTAGTTACAAAGTCATTCCAAATCTATGAAAGCTTTCTTTTAAATCTCATTGTTGAGGAAGTAACTGGCCCAATTATTACAATTTTGTTTTATGAGTTATACGTATTAATCTACAGTTTATTTCTCTATGATTTACTAGAACATACAATGATTTTTATAACTGTTAAACTTGCCACAGAATTAATCCAGACTCTATGAGGAAAGGCATGGCAGATGGTCCATTCTCAAATTCCCAATGCTTCCACAGGTCATAAGGTAGTGAATCTCACTAAACACAGAATCTTGATCCTATAATAGTTACAAATCTCCAGGAATTTGTTCATATTCGTTTAATTAATTTTTGTATAGTCAGTCATAAAAGTGCCTATATAATACCACATCAAGATTCTGCACCAGCGTTCTTTCTTTAAAAGAGCAATTCCCTAGTATCTGGTATTAAAAACTGAGCCCACTACCAAAAGGAAATTCAATTATTCCAAGGATAAATCATTCATATCAGGTAAAGAATTCAGAAATTCAGTGGACAGGGCATTGTCCAGTCTGATGGTGTGTATTCAGAACTCTACAGTGGCTTCCGGTTAATAAGGCAAGAAAGTCACTGCAACTGTATTGATGCCAGTCGAGAAGAGAGGCAGACGTGCAGAGTCAAACTCCTGTTGTGTTCCTGGCATTCACTGACCTGGCACCTGACAGTTGTGGATGAAGGAGTAATTTCAAAGGATTACTACTGCTATCCCAGGACAGCACGAGAGAATGTCCTGGCTGACAAGCACTAGCATGCCTCTGCTTCTATTAGCAGGTGAAAATAGGCAATCTTTGAGTTAGAAAGAACTATGATATTATGTTTGATTTAAATTAAAAGTGAGGAAATGAACCTTCCATATATTTAAGAGTTCATTTGTGTTTGGGGCTAGAGATGTTAGACATTCCCACAGACAGGTTTGGTGTATAATTGAGGAGTTCTTAGTAAAGTGAGGCTGTTACCAAAGTGTGGCCCTAATCACTGTCACTCAGCACTGACGTGATACCTGCTTTGAATCAGACAAAGCATTATATATTTTTTCAGGTACTTTAAAGTCTAAAATTTATCAACATAAAACCCTTTAAAATGTCCACATTTCATAGCCAGGAGCCTTGTCTTTGAAGGTGGCAGATGTGAGGAATTTGAACCAAATACTCTCCCTCAAAAACAAAAACATATTTTCCTCTTGTACTTTCATCACCTTTAATAGAAAAGGGTGAGCTGACTCTGGGGGATGATTATCTCATGTTACAAGATGTTAATTTTATGGTTAATTATATTAGCATCAATATCCTTACTGAAGGCATTTAAAATAGACTTTAGTTGTCAACATTATGCACTGTAGGATGAGTTTCCAGGTTTCCTAAAGTAAGGTCAAAACATCTCACTTGTCTGAATGTGAAAGTTCTAGATTTTAGCAGAAACAACAGGGCAGAGTCCCAAAGTTGAGGCAAGTTTAGGAGCTGTAAAAGTACACCTGATCCTTAAATCAAATATCACTACAGACAGGAATCATGTGCAGAGAGCTCCAACCCTTGTCAGGAACAGAGAACAGACACAGAGCAACAACTCCTTCATGCTCTTAGTACCTTCTATCAAATTGTTTCTTCGCATCTCTGCCTCCTTGTTCAGTTCTGCAAATGATCAGACGCTTACTGAGATATGTATGCTCGCACATGGAAAACAGGCTGAGCCCAATAACATGCAAACATTGTGCTGACTAAAGGAAAGAATTGATTCTGACACTACCTTTTAAATAGCCCAAGTGGCGGGACAGGTAGTGTGGAAAGATGTGTTTGTTGAGTATGATGCTAAGCAATCCTACTTACTTAGTGATGAACATGTTGGCACAGAAGAAAACTAATTATTTTGTGCACCTACCTCCAAAGACTTGTTGAACACTAGGAAGCCTGTATTTGAGGAGCTAATATTTTTCCAAAAAATTGAAAAACAAAGTGACATGTAGCTGTGTTCTACCATGGGAGCTAACAGTTATTATGGTCAGTGACTAGCATCTCAGTGGAACCACATCATAGGAGAATATACACAAATATACATAAACACAGATATTCATCTGAATACGGATGCCTCTTATAGGATCTATTAGAATACTTGGTCCCCAATTGGTAGAACTGTCTGGGACAGATTCAGAGATGTGGCCTTGTTGGAGAAGGTGTGACACTGGAAGTGAGATTTGAGTTTTGAAAACTGCAATTGCTGCTATCTCTTCTATCTTGTGGTTGTGAGCTTTCAACATGTAAGTTCTATCTATTGCTTTAACATCATACTTATTGCTATGCTTCACACCATGGTCATCATAGACTCAATTCCCTTGAAAACCAAGAGTCACAAACAAGCACTTTCTTCTGTAAGATGCCTTGGTCAAAATGTTTAGCCACAGAAATATAGATGTAAGAATATATATGCATACCTATATGCATATTTATGGCAATGAGAATATGCATTCATAAAGTAAGGACAGAGATGGATGTCATCTGTCTTCCCTTTATTGTTCTCCATCGTTTGAGACACGGTTTCTGACTGAAGCTAGAGGTTGTTTAGACTGGTTGGCCAGGAAGCTTCCAGAGTCTTTCTCTCTCTGACTTCCAGAATTAGAATCATTGTACAGCAATTCTATGCTAGAATCTTTATTATTAGATTTTACATTCAGCTTTTAAATCACATACTGTAAACTAATTAACTATTTCCTTAAATGAATTAACTTACCTGAAACTAATATGTTTGTTTATCCAGTAAAATTAGAAAATTAAACTCTAGATTCTCTAAAATCAAAATCCACAGCTTGAACACATTTTCATCCTGTCAAGGTATCAGATCTATACTAGGGATATTAATTGGATAATTTTCTATTCTTCAGTTCTGAGTTTATGTATTGTAGTTGATCTAGTATGCTATGAGGACCTAGTTAATACATAAGGATAGCTTAGTGGTATGGGTAAGGAATTCATAGTTCAAATAAGAAGACAGATTTCAAGAGAAAAGAAAATGTCTTACTTGGTTAAGAATGTCTTGTTTCTGTGCATGCAAGGAAAGAAAGAATACATGTATTAATGTAAGAGAATTTGTTCCCATTATCTCATTTTGCTGATATTTTCTCTAAAAGTTAAAGATTATGTATCAATTTCTTAAATGTACCCTGTGAAAATGGGTCTCAAAATACTATTGCAAAACAATAGCATCAGCATACACTGGGAAACTGTCAGAAAAGCAAATCATGAGCCAAACCCCAGAAACACTCAAGGAGCTTCTAGAATAGGGAGGAGGCAGGCATCATTCCATGCTTTCACTGGGCCTGTGTAAGTCTGTTAGGATGGGACAGGACAGAAACTCCGTCTACATTATGTAAACAAAATTTAAGAACAACTGACAAGACCAGCCTTTGAGTATATATATGGCTATAGTTCCTAGTGATGAGAAACAAATACAACAAATAAAAGACAACATAATTAAAACCTTCAGAGAAGGTAACAAAAATTTATACATATATTAGTTTATTCTTTCCTTATCTTTCCTTTCATTAGTAAAGCATACCAAGTTGTCCTCCATGCCTTAAAAGAGCAAAATATTTTGTAACCAAATTTGACATACAAGACAAAATAAACAAAACAACCAATCATGCGTAAACAAGCTCGACTTTCTCATATACCAAAGTTCAGTTGTTTTCATTAGAAGTATCATTGTACCTTGAAAAAATAAATTTATTCTACAATATTACTTCTATTAGTTTTAAAACACTAGAATATTTAAGATTATAAATTTAGAGAACATTTAAAACTTATGCTTAGATATCCATTACATAACTTTTGTAGAGAAGATTATCAAATTGTTTTTATATACAAAATTAATTATAATTGTTTCTGCTCATATCTTCTATCTAGTATTTCTGTACTACTAAAATAATTCAAAATAGACTATATTTTTATTGATAAAAGTTCCCAACACAATATTTTATATTAAAAAATTTAGCCAGGTATAAGCAAAAAAGAATATTAATAATTATTTACAGAAGTAAAACTCAAGGGCTTTATGCTTTGCCTTTAATTTGCAAATATATTTCATAGGAATAATGAAAATAATGCATATTTTAAAGTAAGGGATTAATGACCCTTTCTAAAACTGAGTTTGTGTTAAACACTTCTATTTTTTCATACATAAATTATCACTTATAAATAGTTAATCATGCCATGAGATCTCTAGGAAAACTTGAATGGTTTTATCGTCAATGACAGATATTACTAATTATTTTCTAGTAGCTTTTACAAAACACAAAACTACTCTTAAAGAGTCATAAGCTTTAATTTTTTTTCTCTTAAAGGGAAAGGTTCTTATTACCATTCAGTTTAAACAGTAGTTTTATTCTCTTTATCTCTAAATTTAGAGTTGCTAGTGGGGCATAATGAGATCTAGCTTTCTGTTTTTCAATTATTATTATCTTAATGCATTTGATAAATTTGCATATTTATTGAGGGATAGCACATTATTGAAAATCCTGACATTATATTGTATTTAATAACATATCTGGTAATTACTGCAATAAATTCTATGGTGACCGTTAATCAACATGAAATAGATTATAATAATAAAAGGGTCTTTGGAGGTTCTTATACAATAAATCCTTAAGAGTAATAGATCACAGAGCAAACCATATCGCTACATAAAAATCCTAAATCAGCTGATGTTCAGATGCCATGTTTAGAGAAGATAAGTATTTCAAGTTTGCATATAAGGATGTGTATTTCAGGTATCACTGGACCAATGTGTATTAATGGCATTTGAAGTTTGACAGGAATCCAGCAATGTTGTCTTTCTTCCTTCCCCCAAACTATTTCCTTGGAGTTTGAGATTTTCTGTTCTATATTCCCATCCACAAATTCTATCCCTTTTACTCTGCAACAATAAATAAATAGCAGGGAAACGCAGGACATTTATGTGGTTTTTCTTAGCACAAGACAGAGGAAATGGTACCAAAACTGCTGATACCTTTTCATCATTAGAAATCACCAAATTCACATTTGTCAAAAGAAGAAAGTAAAGTATGTATTACTTTTGAAATGTGTGATTATTTGTCGTAACGTTGATAAAATGAGAAAATATGAAATGAAGGCAGATGTGGTAGTGCATGTATGTACGCATTCTTCATACTAGGATGAGTTTGCAAGTTTCAGAACAGCCTGAGTTACATGGTAAGGTCTTCTCTAAAAAAATTTTTAAAAACCTGTTAAAAATACTAATGGGAATTATAAAACTTTGTCAGAACACTGTGTTTGAAATTTAGACATTGGTCTACATTTACCACAGAAGAAAAATCTTGAATGATAAATAGAAATTCTGTTCTTATAAATACACAAAACAAAAAAGCCACCTTTCAGTATGCAAAAAATCTATCTTGATTACATATTTAGACATAATTCATTTTGTTGCAAAGATCTGTTGTTTCTTATGTATTCAAATTTCAGTTGGTGAGGCTACAAATGAAGTAAGAGAAGTTTTGATCAGACATTCAAAATAAAGCATCTTTCAGCTGATATTAAATGGAGAATTAGTGAACAAATAAGTTGGAATTTAAAGTGACCTGATGTATCAGGCAAAATTTTTATAAACACAAATATATAAAAGGAAAATTTAAATGTCCTTTAGGTTGCTCCTTAAGAAACCATGCTTACACCCACTTCAAAAGTGTTCTTGAAGAATAATTTCTTGAAAGTAATTACTCCCTGTCCCCTACATGCCCATTTTGGATTTAAAACTGCATATCATAAGTTAAGAATTAAGTGCTTCCTTCTTTTTTCTATCTAATTCTGTTTCCTAATTATAGAACAAACTTCCAACAATATATTATAATAATGTGCATTTAAGCACACAAACTCGGGAAGTATTTTCATTAATAAATGTTGTATAAAAATAAAGTATATTTAATGGCCTGCCAAAATATCAATTAGTTTTGAACTTCATTGTATGGAATGTGCTAAATGGTTTATGGTATGTGAGATATATACATGTAAGTGTATATTTGTATATGTATATATACATATACATAAGTATATGTATGTGTGCATTTATACAAACACACATATACATATTTTTCTAGAATTTTCCACGGAGAAAATTCACCCAGCAAGCATGTCATTAAACTGGTAAAGAAAAAAAGGAAGCTTTACCCCTTCAGGATTATACTTTGCAAGCACGCCATTACCATGGAATTCTTCAAGAACGTCCTTTAATTTCTTTGTAGAATCTACAGCAAGAACAAAAAAAAACATTTATGTAACCCTTATGTGTTTATGTAGCTCAGTTAAAAAACAAAGACATATGATTAAAAATAATCACCAATGAGACTATATTTTAAAATCAGCAAATGAAATGTCTTTGAAGGGAGTAGGGAAGTTGAAGTAACCGAGGTCCTTGCACAAAGTAGATAAGCATTCTATTGTTGTAGTATGTCCCCAGCATTTGAAGTCTATTCCAGCAAAAATATATAATAACCATGTCATGAAAGAACTAATACATGTTTGGGCAAGTGTATTCTTTGAGATTCAGCTCAACATCTATCATATATGAGTGTGTAGCAAATAATTGAAGGGAATTTTGTGTTTCCTGGCTGTATTTTGATCATGTGCTATCTAGTTGAATATAATAAATCTAGTTTAAAACTGGAAAAATACAGAAATATCTTTCCTCGTCAAAATGCAGCCTGTAGCTCTCATATCACTGTTGTAGAAATTATCATCTTTCAACCATGGTAAAACACATTCTGTGCCCATATTATATTTTCATTAGCATGTGTACATTTGAATTTTTTCTGGGTTTGCATTAAAATAAATAATGCTGCTTTGACCATTCAAATAGATCAGGTTTTGTGTAACCAAAATTAGTAATACCACTGGGACCTTTCAGATTGAAAAGTGATAACTAACACTGTATTAAAATTACTTAAGACGCTGATAAATGATACTATACAGTTCTCTCCAAAGATTATTATTTCTTACCAAGCCATTAGAAATTTACTAAGAATGCTGGGTGTTGGTGGCGCACGCCTTTAATCCCAGCACTCAGGAGGCAGAGGCAGGCGGATCTCTGTGAGTTCGAGGCCAGCCTGGTCTACAAAGTGAGTTCCAGGACAGCCTCCAAAGCCACAGAGAAACCCTGTCTCGAAAAACCAAAAAAAAAAAAAAGAAAGAAATTTACTAAGAAATATTGAAGACACTACCTTAAATTCCAATTCCTGATAATGAACTTGACAAATACCTTATATGCCATCCTAGAACCTTCATCCAGTGACTGATGGAAGCAGAGGAAAACACCCACAGCTAAACACTGAACTGAACCCCTGGAACCCAGTTACAGAGAGAGAGTGGTGATGAACAAATGAGTAAATAATGGGCTGGTGAAGCCAGAAGAAACAGCTGACCTGAACAAGAGGGAGCTCTTGGACCCCAGACTCACAGCTGGGAGGCCAGCATGGGACTGATCCAGACCCCTTGTGAGAGTCAGTGAGGAGGCCTGGGCAACCTATGGGGCGCTGGGCAGTAGATCAGTATTTATCCCTGGCATACAAATGGACTTACTGTGTCCATAACACAAAGAGGGATGCTCTCTCAGCCTGGACTCTTAGGGGGAGTGCCTGGACTCTGCCCTGTAGGAAATGACAGACACTGGATACCACCTATGGGGAAGGGAGTGGGGATCAGGTGGGAGACTTGGGGGGGATACTGGAGGGGGGTGTGGGAGGAGGGGAGGGAGAAGGAGCTAAGATTGGCATGTGAAGCAAGCTCTTTTCTAAAAAATGTAATAAAAATAATGAAAAAAGAAATTGATTATTCATTTAAGTTGGAGAAACATAAGAGAAGACAAAGAAAAAATTGTATAAATGTTCCATGTTGTTTATGTAATAGGGAGTAAGAATCATTGAATATTTAAAATGTGGGGCACACAATTTTCAGCTTTTTGCCATGGAAGAGAATGTAATTGTTTTCTAGCATTTGAATATAATTCTCCTGAGATTTGGCAATCATGAACAGTTAACAGTAAGATATTTGTACTTAAAAATACAGAACTCAAGAAAGCCAGTAACAGAGAGGGAGGACTGATGATCAAAGGGATTAAGACTGGGCTGGTCTAACCCCCAGAAACAGCTGACTAGACAAAGGTTAACTCTTGAATCCCAGGCATTAGCCTGGGAAGCCAGCATGGGACTGATCAAGACCCCCTGAATCTGGGTGTCAGTGAAGAGGCCTAGGGATTCTATTGAGCCTTGGGCAGCAGATCAGTACCCATCCCAAGTATACACACGGACTTTGGACTCCAATAGAACAATGTGAGGTGCACTCTCACCCTGAACTCTTGGGAAAGGGTCTAGGCCCTGCCCTATATGAAATGACACACTATGGACACCCCCATGGAGGGCCTCACCCTCCCTGGAGAAATGAGGGGATAACGGGGAGGGGGGGAGGGCACGGGAGGAAGGGAGGGAATGGGAGAGGGACCTGGAACTGACTTGTGAAGCAACCTTGATTCTTATCTAAATTTAAACTGGAAAATAAAATAAAAAAAATACAGAAAACTGATTCTTCAATGTAGCTTTGACACAGCCTGCTAGCTACCACGGAGGGAATCATGCACTCTCTTTCACCTGTAATGTATGGTTTCTTTCCTTTATATTGTAACTTATGTGGGTTTGTGTGTCTGAGAACAGTAATCAGAGTGTACAGTACATCACTGTCCCAATTTCCAGACTTTTTACCACTTTCTGCAACCATCACAGCCTCTTATGTCAGAAGTTTTTACCAACATTAAGAGGAACTCTGAAATCTTTAATCCTCCCCCCCTTTCTATGTCTATGGAATTGCCTACTAAGAGCATTTGTGAGGGAATGGAATGAAATCTCATCAGACATTACTGTTGTGTCTGGTTTTACTCCAGTATCACAGTGTCTTAACTAATTTCCATATGTAGCACTAATACTCCATTGTATGGTTACAATTATTTCAGCAAATGTACATTTGTCTTGTTTTCCATTTGGGTTAATATGAAAATGGATCCAACACAAAAAACTATAAGTTTCAGGGAAACTATGTTTCAGTTCTCTGTGATTGGAGAAGAATTGCTCAGTCATTACATGTGTGACAATTTAAGGAACGGACATGAGTATTTTCTCACTATCGGAACCATTTTATAGTCGCACAACAATAATTAACGGGCGTAATTTGTTAATATCTGTTCAGATCCAACCCTTGCCATTTTCTAATCTCTCTGTCATAATCATCTGTGGTTGGTGAATGTTTTTCTTATGTATCTGAATAGTGATTTGCTGATGAATGATGAGCATATTCTTATATGATTGTTGTTTATGTTTTCATTTATGTGTGTGTAGGTGTGTTTGCATGTGTGGGACTGCATTGTCTAGATAGCTGTGCAAGTGGCCAAGTGCTTATGTCATTCTTCAGGAACCATCACCATGTTTTTGTAAGACAAGCTCCATCATTTGGCCTGAAGCTTGCTAAGTTGGCAAGTCTGTCTGTGTGCCCTAGAGATGCTCCTCTCTTTGTCTACCCAGTGTAAACTGACTTTTCCTTTGGGCATCCAGCTATGACACAGAGACTTGTTATTTATGAAAGCTCAGCCTTACCTGAGGCTTGGGACCATTAGCTCTTATAACTTAAATTAACCCATTGTTTTATTAGCCTACATTCAACCTTGTGGCTTTTATCTCTCTGCCCTTTTGTGTGTCCTTGTCTTTCTCCATCTTGAATGCCTTGATTCATTCCTTATTTTCTCTTTCTCTGCCCAGTAGTTCTGCCTATACCTGTTACCAAGCTATTGGCCTTTCAGCTGTATATTGAACCGATCACAGCAATAAACCTTCTCACAGTATACAAATATCACACAACACCCCAGATATTATAGCCCTCCACTACCCACTAATGCTGATTACTTAATTTTAATACCAATAATTGGAACCAAACACAGATTTTCATCCTTGTAAGTACTTTAACTACTGAATAATCTCCTGAGTCTATGCTCATTCACATACCTAAGAGAAGAATATCTAGTTGATAAAGTCCTCTGGGAGTGGGCTTATTTGCTTAAAGAATGTACACCTTCCTAAATGTTTCTCTTTGGTAAGTATTTTACTACCATTTTCTGTCTGTTATTGGATTTGGTTTGCTGTCATCCCATGCACCTGTGTGTGTGTGTGTGTGTGTGTGTGTGTGTGTGTGTGTGTGTGTGTGTGTGTTTGTGTTTGTGTGTGTTCTTTTTCTAGGAAAGAAATAAGCACTTAAATTTTGTGCACGATTTTCAGTTTTATTATAACCTTAAAGCTATAATATTAAACAAAAGGATTTAGCTAAGAGTAAAGATCATCCAGACTGGTTTGGTCCTTGCCTAGGATCCGTGAGCAAAGCATTCATTCCCTAGCACGACCATTAAAAACTAGTAAAGCTAGGAATACTTTCTGTAGACTTGGTCCTAATATTGTACAAATGACGCTGATTGCTTTCACATGTGTCTTGTCAGAGACTTATGCTAGTACAGAGATCAGCTTATACATTTTATGAACTTCCTTATTCCAAATTTGTCCTGTGAAAATGATAAGGGGCTATTCTCAGTAGGCAAATCTTTTTACTTCTTGCTCATAATAGCAGATGCAGAGCAAGCTGTGCATAGTCACCAAGACATGCACTAAATACTCATTCTGGAATATCATTCTTTGTGTATTGTAGTTTCTTTAACCATGGATTTAATAACATATTCAGCAATAATTTACAAACATTGGTTAAATTTTACATGTCAGATTTTAATAACTTGTTACTCAGTTTAAATTATGTCATTGCTGATAGGGAGAGAGTGAGCTAAATTAAAAGTTGAAAAATTAATGTGTATTGTTTTGTTTTCTGAAATTAATGATGTTGATCCTTGGCAATTTAAGAAAGGAATTCATATTCATAAGACTTGCTATCTATTCAAACCATACCTTTACTAGTTTTTAACCTCCAGTATAAATGTCTCAGCATGAAGATTACTCATGACCTGGGATTGACCTTACAATCTAGTTTGGAACTTACACATTATTTTGTTATTTTCTTCTCCACGGACCCAGTTTCTCCAATCTAGAACCTTTACTTACTTGTCCAGGGATTTGCAAATAGAGTTCTTATGTGGTTTAAGTAATAAAAAAACAGAGTTATATATTGAGGGAAATGCTACGAGATCAGCAAGCAATGGTGCATCTTACCT